CCTCTGTTGGATTCTGAGATCCCCTCAACCACTGCTTGCTTAATCCAATAAGATATGTCTTGGGCTGAAGAGGTAGAAGCTGGAGGCGACTTCCGATGTTCCGACTCTCCTGCAATCATAGATAGGCATTTACGGCATAGCCTGCAGCTATCCAAAGGCCTTGCAACGCATCTTGGGCAGGCCGCTGGTTTTCCCCTTCTCCTAGATGGAGATCTAGGGTCGGACCGGTCATGAGGGCTGCAAAACACAAGTCAAATGACTGTACCCTCCATGCACTCTTTACTGTAATACAAAAAAAAATCTAAATGCTCACCTATGACCTTTCTTGCTGTCTTTGCAGATGGAGATGCTAGTTCCATAATAGAAGTACAAAGAAACATAGAATGTGACGGCAGATAAGAACCATTCGGCCCATCTAGTCTGCCCAGTTTTCTAAATACTTTCATTAGTCCCTGGCCTTATCTTATAGTTAGGATAGCCTTATGCCTATCCCATGCATGCTTAAACTCCTTCACTGTGTTAACCTCTACCTATTCCATACATCCACTACCCTCTCAGTAAAGTAATACTTCCTGATATTTTTAATAGTAGAGCTAAAGAAAAAAAAAAAAAGATGTATTAGACTTTTAAAGGTATAATCTATACCTGCAGAGTTTGTAAGTAGCACCAAAGAGCACTGTAACTTTAAGGGAAACTAAACAGTATTTATTAGTTTTACCGCCATTTAAAATTTCCCGCTCTGTGCCTTTAAGAAAGCGTGCATGCGCTGAATGGCCGCGATTCCGCAATCGTGGAAAAGGGCAAAAGTGCAGAAATCCGTCCGTGTCTCATATACTGGTATGTTACCGGAGTGTTTGATCGTCTGATCGAGGTCTGGGAGTTCCGTCCTGGTTAACACAAGCTCCAGATGCCGGGGGAACTAACCACCACGGCTCCCAGAGATTCCCAACTCCGCAGAGATTTAGCTACATGTGCCTAGGCCTCCTGTGGAGGGAGGCTGACCTCAACAGGGAGAAGACCACATAATATGATCAGGTGAGAATATATATATATATATATATATATATATATATATATATATATATATATATATATATATATATATATATATATATATATATATATATATATATAATCATATATAATCAGACAAGTGGAAAAAAAAAGAAAAAAAAAACTGTCCTAGGGCTACGAGGACAGGAAAAAGGAGGGGAAGCTACTGGGGTCCCTATTATACCAGGGAAAGGTATGCTTAGTTGTTTAAAGGACCACTATAGTGCCAGGAAAACACTAGTTTTCCTGGCACTATAGTGCCCTGAGGGTGCCCCCACCCTCAGGGACCCCCTCCCGCTGGGCTCTGGGGAGAGGAAGGGGTTAAACACTCACCTTTCTCCAGCACTGGGCAGGGAGCTCTCCTCCTCCTCTCCGCCTCTTCGGCTGAATGCGCATGCGCGGCAGGAGCTGTGCGCGCGTTCAGCCAGTCTCATAGGAAAGCATTTATAACGCTTTCCTATGGACGCTGGCGTGTTCTCACTGTGATTTTCACAGTGAGAAGCACGCAAACGCTTCTAGCAGCTGTCAATGAGACAGCCACTAGAGGCTTTAGAGGCTGGATTAACCTATTTATAAACATAGCAGTTTCTGGGTTAACCCTAGCTGGACCAGGCATCCAGACCACTTCATTAAGCTTAAGTGTTCTGGGTGCCTAGAGTGGTCCTTTATGCTGCCATGATTAGCCAGGCAAGCAGGCTTATCAATAAACTGCAATCTTTAAGTTTGGATTCCAATATTGTTGAATAGGTAAAGCAGTGACTGAGTGAAAGGCAACAGAGGGTTGTAGTCAATGGAGTATATTCGAAGCATGGGCTTGTCACCAGGGTACCTCCATTGTTTGCCCATCCGGCCGATTTAGGTAAAAGGCTGACAAATCCCAGGCACCAGGGCAAAATTTCTGGTTGCCATGGTGACCTGGCGCCTGGGATTTGTCGAGCCCTGCCTTACCATACCCCTAAGGAATATCTGCCAATGTAAGTACTGATATCAGCAGAATGGTTTCAAAGCTAAAACAAACAGCAGTCTGTTACACCATCTACTTGCTGCCTGCAGGATAAAAAGGGGATCTCCCTCTCACGCTGCAGCTCACAGTGATTGGTGCTGGGCAGCTGGCAAAGCCCAGCACCAATAACAATCAGCGGGTGGACATGCAGGAAGCCCTTGAGGTCTCCCTGACACAGTATGCAGCCTGGGGATCGCTCAGCTGCTGGGATTTAAATCCCATATAAAGGGCTGTATGGAGAGCTCTATATGGAGCCAATGAAAATGGCCCCAGCCACCAGAGGGTAACCTCAGGTATTTAATGATAATGACGTCCCACAAGGTTCTCATACCAAAACGTTTGGACACTCCATCACGTCCTAATCTTGTTAAATCCCAGTTCTGTTAGGACATAATGGAACGTACTAATGCTGTTAAGGGATTAACTGTGAAGTCCCAAAATTTGCAATTAATAACTTCCACTGAAAACCAAGGAGATTTCTGCCCAACACTCAGAATATCTGGTAGAAGTGTGGGCCCTGGAGTACCATCTAAATGGAAAATTAAACATCTCACAAAACGAGTATTTGTAATGAATTAAATCTGGACAAAACCATGTATGAAATAAGCATACTACCATGTGTCTGGAAGATAGAATATAATTATAAACAAAATGTGTACAATAATGTAAAATACGGTAAGTATCTTAAGATTGCGATTTCTAATTTAATCAATAACGACAGCAAGTAACAGACGTTTAAATGCACAGAATTCACAAAATAAATACAAAGTGAGCAGTTTATACAGAAATGGGAAACGTTGGGAGATTTCACTAAAAAAGCATGAACATTTTAATAGAAATGATGCCAACTTACTCCCTGGTGCATCCGGAGAGTGAAGTGCATTTTACGTAGATTTCTGCAACACAGTGACACCAGTCGTACCCCCGCCCAGCGGGAGCAGCTTACCATTTTTTGCTAAGTAAGTGGAAGCAATAAGGCACTTTCCCAGCGACTCCTCTCGCTTGTACGGTATGGACCAGTGATCAGTGAGAACGCGACCTTCCAACTCGTACAGGTTAGTGGTGGGGAACTCAATGGCTTCTCGGGAGCAGTTACCATTTTCATCATTTTTCTGAAAAAAGAAAATTTTATCTTTTATAGTCCCGGAACATCCTGTAAATAAATAATCAGCCACTAAGTAAAAGCAACGGATGCAGACTGTACCACGTGCATATTGCACAATTGTGGTGGTTACGACAGGAAGGAGAGAAAAGGCACATAAGAATAAATAAATAAATAATAATAACCACTAATGGACTATATAATACAACAAATTCTGAAGACAAAACAGGCTGTAGTGATTATGGTGCTTAGACTGAACCTTTAAATTTGATAGTAGAAGCAAACAAACAATTAAGAGGAACCTATACAAAAAAGGAAAAACCAAACTTCTGTAATAAGCTGGAGCGCACTGTGCGGAGAGAACTTTACAAAGAATAAATATTGATTAGCACAGCAAGATATCCTGAATGTGAATTTAAAGTACGACTGACAGGAGTGGGAAACATCGGCTGCATTGTGGAGATAATCCCTAATATTGTGCTGATCATGTTTAATGTGTCACCGCGAGCAAGATATTATAGGCCGTGTTTATTAACACAGCAAGCCATTCATTCACTGACGGGAATCGAGGTTTTGTTCCCCTATCTGTGCAGCTGGCGTGGGACAGAGCAACGCAGTCAGACATGAAGGGCAAATAAGCAGAATGCACAATGATAACTGAGCCCTTCCTGACAGCAACAAAGGGCCCCCTGTGACATAGTTTACTCCAGATTGGGAAGAGGAAGCAGTGTCTGCGGCTGTCATACACAGACGTAATACAGTAATAATTAGGACAACATTAACCTGCTGGAACTATTACTGAGGGAAAAACACATTTCATCTATTGGTCCACAAGTTAATAAGCTTTCCAAACAATTTATACACAAATCGCCAGCAACTTTAACCCTTCAGGACTGAGCCAAATCTACACGTTGTGATCAAAACAAAATGTAAACAAAACCTGGAATTTGACTATACGTCTGTTCAACCGTAATGCACCTCTTTCATAGTAAATGCACCCACACTTATTATATATCATTTTATTCAGGGGAAACAGAACATTCATTTAACTTTAAGTATTTAGCTATGAAACATAATTTAAAATGAATAAAAAAAATAAAAAAAATAGCAGAAACTTTTTAGTTCCGCCTGACATTTAATTGTTTGCTTTACTGCAATAAAATACACAAATTTGTATTCAGCGATGTCTCAAGTGTAAAATCATACCCCCTATGTACAGATTTTATGGTGTTTTGGGAAGTTACAGGGTCAAATATAGCATGTTACATTTTTCAGTTTGTTCACATTGAAATTTGAGACCGTATGGTAGCCCAGGAATAAAATTTAAGTATAGGTGGCAAAAAGAAGTAAACCCCCAAACAGATTCCGTAGCAAACATGTCAAGAACTCGAAACCCCACTACAGCATTAGTGAAAATATGAGAACACCCTATCGTATAATAACCTAGTGTCGACTGAAAGTGTAAGGTAAGAAACGTGACGTGCAAGGTTAAACCATACATTTAATCCATGAGAATGTCTTGGAATGGCGGGGCAGGTTAGCTAGCTTGGAAGAGGTGGGCAGTGTCTGGCTAAAAGCCTGAAACAAAACCCATGGAAGTGGTCAGCTGAGATATTTATGAAACCTGGCATGAGAATACATGTGATAAGATTAGCAAGCGGCTACCCATGTGAGTTTCCTCAGTCTCCTGATGACCAGAGATCAAAATCTGCCTATGTGCACAATGGCTAGGTGTATGTGAATAATATCCGACCGAGTGACCGGACCATATCGGTCCCCAGACAATAGCAGCTGTCATGATCGGATATCATTCAAACAAGGCTGAAGTAGAAGAGAAGCTGGGTCGGGACTTAACGTCTATGGGCCATGACGCGCAACGCCATTTATTCCCTCCGATGGCCGCAAAACCAGCGTTTGCAGCGGCATCTGTCCAAACGTAGGGTAAAAAGTCAGAGAGGGGGAATAAACATGGCTCGCTCTTTCCAGTATTCGAGGAAAAACACCACATAAGTAAATCAGAGGTTGCAAGAGTATCTAACGAGGTTGCAAGAGTGTAACGTGATACGTGATGCGTCTGTGGTGAGTCATGGGAATAAAGAGTAGTAATCGGGAAATGAAGGATCTACCCTGTGGGATGATTCACATGGCAACATTGAGCGACCCCAGCAGCAATTGAAGTTCCATGCAGTCGCCCGACCTAATTGCAAGTAGAGTTCAAATGCATGAGAAGGTGCTCTCAATCCATGTCTTGGGGAAGGCCAGCCTGTATGTGGCTTGAGTCCAGCAGGATCCCCAAAATTGTGTGAAAAGGAGGGGAACCAAACCCCCCCCTCCCCCCAAACCCTTGAACTAGTTCCGTCCTTATAACTGTACACACTAACTCTCGGTCAGTTAAAGCGGTTGCAAATTATTGCATTCTAGTGTCCTAGTTGTCAAAGTATACAAAAACCCACGTGGAACCCTTGAGTTAGCCTTTGCAGATAATTTTAACCAAATGCTCTGAAGGATGGTATTGTAAAAGTGTAATCAATAACGTGATGTAGAATAAAGAGAACAAAACGTGTAACAACTTACCTGAACTATAACCACCAGTCTCTCCGGAACGGTGATACATACCAGAAAATACATATGTAACTTAATCATTATAATGAAACGGAGGCCCTCCCTATGCAACAATGCGAGGCGGCTACTTATGATTTGGGCCGAGGGACGTATACCTCGGAGTATGAGGATGGGTGTTGGCATTGCGGGACCACTAACATATGGATTAAGACCGGAAAACAGAAACCTAGTTTGGTAACCTAACTTTCAAAAAGCCAGTACAACTCTAAATAGAAAGTACGGGGTTGTGAAAACGTGCCTGATAAAGTTCAAGTCAGGACGAGATTATATGCAGACAAATAGGAGCGAGATAGTGGCAGTAGATACGTTCTGCAACCCCGTAAAATGATGAGGGGAGTGTCCGTGCGTACAGATTATGTGAGTGGCCCAGAACGTGGACCCAAACAACAAACAGAAAACCAACCAGAACCAATATAGATGAGCAATGAAAATATGGCAGAGGTAGGTGACGGAATTGCAGTGTTTGTACAGCAACCTTCCTGCACTACCAAAACACCTAAAGAAAGTGAGATGTTACTGCTCAATAACAGAACACACAATGAGCACAACCTGAAACCACAACATCAACTTAATAAGGCCAAGCATTTGAGCAATGATGTCACAAAACAAACTTAATAACCTGCAATGAACTTGCGGGAACATAATAACAAATGTCAGATAACAGAAAAATTTACCAGCCAACGTACCGAGGACTCCTATGGAGGGGGGCGGATGAGAGGACTAAGCCCGGTGGGCGGGAAGGTAACCCTCCCACAGAGTAACTTGGCATCTCCAAAGTAAATCTTAGCGTCCAGCCTCCTAACAGAAAGTAGGTAATGCCTTGACGCCTCCATATAAACCTGTGTGCTATACATAGGACTAATCCCTGCATTTTATGTAGACAGAGTGATATAGAAACCAGATATGTTAACAGGGCCAACTATATGTTGAAAGCAGAGTGCAAATCTGAACAGCAGGAAGTTAAAATTGAACCCTGGTACAAAGTGCGATCAACCATACGGTCTGCAGTACTTATAGTCAGGGAGGCTGATATAACACCCGGGCTGCGATAGTTATGGTCTGGGAGGCTGATATAACACACAGTATGTGGTAGTTATGCAAACTTTAGACCAAGAGATTCAAGACGTAGTGGTTCTCTATGTTACCTCAACTTCAGCCTCCAGTTTATATATATGTCTGTATACTAGTTATATAACGCGTTACGGTTAAATTCAGTGAGTTAGCTGATCATGCGGCCAGTGTCCAGCCAGCGGTTCACCCGTAGTGTTATGAAGCAGAACACTGACAGAGGACGTGCCGTGCAGAAACCAGACCGGGGGGAGCGATCACACTACGTGCCCGCAGACTGGCGTTCACGGATACAGGGTGGAAGATGACTGCACGCGGCTGTACATTGCATGGGCGGGGCCAAATGCGCACGCAAGACAGGCGGTGTGGGGAGTCGGGCGCGTGCGTGAGATGCGCACAGCTGGTGTTGGTCTAGCTTGTAGGGCATTGCCGTTTCTGCGTGTGAGGTCCCTAGTGCCTTTCCAGGAGCAAGGGAGGTGGTGGTAGGGAAGAACGCGGAGAGAGGTGAGTGACCGGGCACAGAGTGTGGCCATCCAGGGGAGGCTGTGATAGTGCTACCAGGTGCTGCCCAATAATGCTGTGTGTATGGGGGAGGTGGGCTGATGGATAGAGCAGCCTCTCAGTTTCATAGTGTGGTCCCCCTGTGCTCTATAGAGGGGTCAGCTCGTGTTTCTTGTGCTGAAGAGGGCAAGGGATACCATGCTGGTACAGGAGGGCAGGGGACAGGCTCTCATGACACTAAGAGTACAAGGGTGCTATCAGATAGAGGGACGGAAAGTAAGGATAAGAGTTACATTCCTGTAATACGACCTGTGCGTAGAATACTAATTAGGAACAGCTCTGAAACAAAAGTGCTGCGTGGGGAGGGGTCTGTTACAAATGAAATACATCCCCTGCCAAGTTACCGGGCCCCCCAAGAAGGTTTGCTGTGTCTGTCAGCGTAGTGTCCTGAGAGACAGGCCAGTACATCAGGAGACGTGGAGGAGGCCGTAGGAGGGCAACAACCCAGCAGCAGGACCACTACCTCCGTCTTTGTGCAAGGAGGAACAGGAGGAGCACTGCCAGAGCCCTGCAAAATGACCTCCAACAGGCCACAAATGTGCATGTGTCTGCTGAAAGGGTCAGAAACAGACTCCATGGGGGTGGTATGAGGGTCTGACGTCCACAGGTGGGGGTTGTACTTACAGCCCAACACCGTGCAGGACGTTTGGCATTTGCCAGAGAACACCAAGATTGGCAAATTCGCCACTGGCACCCCGTGCTCTTCACTGATGAAAGCAGGTTCACACTGAGCACATGTGACAGACATGACAGTCTGGAGACGCCGTGGAGAACGTTCTGCTGCCTGTAACATCCTCCAGCATGACTGGTTTGGCAGGCCAGTAATGGTGTGGGGTGGCATTTCCTTGGGGGGCCGCACAGCCCTCCATGTGCTCGCCAGAGGTAGCCTGACTGCCATTAGGTACCGAGATGAGATCCTCAGACCCCTTGTGAGATCATATGCTGGTGCGGTTGGCCCTGGGTTCCTCCTAATGCAAGACAATGTGGCTGAAAAGTGTCAGCAGTTCCTGCAAGACGAAGGCATTGATGCTATGGACTGGCCCGCAAGTTCCCCAGACCTGAATCCAATTGAGCACGTCTGGGACATCACATCTCGCTCCATCCACCAACATCGCGTTGCACCACAGGCTTCCAGGAGTTGGCAGATGCTTTAGTCCAGGTCTGGGAGGAGATCCCTCAGGAGACCATTCGCCACCTCATCAGGAGCATGCACAGGCGTTGTAGGAAGGCCACACACACACACTACTGAGCCTCGTTTTGACTTGTTTTAAGGACATTACATCAAAGTTGGATCAGCCTGTAGTGTGTTTTTCCACTTTAATTTTGAGTGTGACTCCAAATCCAGACCTCCATGGGTTGAAAAATTTGATTTCCATTTTTTTATTTTTGTGTGATTTTGTTGTCAGCACATTCAACTATGTAAAGAACAAAGTATTTCAGAAGAATATTTAATGCATTCAGATCTAGGATGTGTTATTTTCGTGTTCCCTTTATTTTTTGAGCAGTGTATATCATTTTGTTCAGGGGAAACAGCTTTTATTTCATCAAACATTTATTTATGTTACTCCATTTTATATGAATAAAGTCTAAGAATTAAGACATTGTGTTACTTTTCAAGTTCTGCATGGCAATGTAACTGTTAATGTCAGAATACTGCTCGGTTTTACTGCAATAAAACATACATAGTTGTAATCAGAAATGTCTCACCAGTAAAACAGTACCCCCCATGTTAAGGTTTTATGGGGTTTTGGAAAGTTACAGGGTCAAATGTAGCTTACTAATGTTTTTACACATTGAATTTTGACAGATTGGTTTGCTGGGCCTAGGCTGCCTTTGAGAACATATGGCAGCCAAGAAATTTCAACATAGGGAGTGGGACCCTGAAAAATCCCACAACGCTTATAGATTGAGCCAACACTTACTGGCTCTACACTTGTAAGTGTAAACATCCATATATTCAGACAATATTGCACTAGTATTTGTTTTCCTTGTTTCAATTATAGGATAACATTCTTTAAAGACTAAAAGCATTTGGAATTATATGTAAGATACTGCACCTTATTTATATTTGTAAATCAAGCAAACAAACTGCCAAAGTCCCATACAGAGTAATTCAGAAGTTCAGCTCTGTATGGTGGACTTTGAAACAGTCTGTTATGCAGAGGGCGGGTAGAGATGGGCAGAGTGGGCAATAATAACTGGAGTCCTTTCGGACTCCTTTCTTGTAGCAAACATGGCACTTTCTTTGGGGAGCTTTTTTACTGGGGGTGGGTGGGATTCGGGAAGGGAAGTGTTTGCACAAAGTCTTTGGAGATCTCCTGTGATGAGACCAACCTCGTCACTGTGCATTGGAGGAGCCTGGTTGCCTGCCTGTTGCCTTTTGACTATGGACCGGCATTTAAATACTTTATTTTCCAATGCAAAAAAGGTCTATTCATGTATTTCTGCCCAGACGTTCAGTAGATTCTATCTACCGAACAAACAGCCGTCTATTGGCCTCCCAGGAGCCGCGGTGATCTGGCAGGCGCCGTTAATTGGCCACCCAGAAACCACGGCTTAACAAGCGTGTGCCGTCAATTGACCATCCAGTAGCTGCGGTTAACCGCAGCTTAACTGACTATACCGGGTGGCCGCGGCTACGCATACTGAACACTGGATGGCAGCAGTTTGCAGTTCACATGCGGCCGGTTCATTCACGGATTTACTGAATGAACTAATTTAACCCAGAGAGCTATGCCATGCAGCCTATTCGTGTAATAAAAGACTTTGGCTCCATGGCAATTGAAATGTATGTGTGTTGTCTGAGCGCCATTCAGTAGTAATGTGCACTCAGACTTAAGCTATCTGGGGATATGTTGCATGTCTGTATTTTATGTAATAAATGTAACCTTGTATTTTACTGTCTTTTTACTGACATGTGCTTAATGGAGTTTTGCCTCTGTCCTTTGAGATAATTGGATTACTTCCCAATTATCTCCAGCATAGAGAGGAAGGATTGTGATGTCATTGTGGGAGTGTTTATCTGTGTTGTATGTTTTGATTGGATGTTCCACAAAGCCCTGTGGGTGGGACTTTGTCTGTAAAATGTGTATATAAGGCCAATAAAGACAGCTCAGTCTGTCCCTGCTTGACCCCCAACATGGAGCCTTGTCTCGTTCTTGGAGGGGATTTATTGTATGCTGTTCCAGTTCGACTGCTAGGAGTGTAAACCTATTAGTATGGTTTTTCCTATTCGGCTGTTTACATCATTCGTATGTTTGAAAGCATTCGTATGCTTCTCCAGTTCGGTGGATTGGTGTATACAGTAGCTGCCTGCATATCTGGAAGGGAATATCTCCTAAACGGCTGTTAACCCCCTTTATGCCTGGGGGTGCTGTTACAGCTCCTGATTCCAAAGTGGGATTGGGGGTCTGAGTAAATAACATATGGGATAAAAGGCTTAGAATGAATTCTAGGAAAGGGCAGGGATTACCTATGACCTTTTTTATAGAGGACATAGGCATTGAAAATTGCAATCTGGCCCACGTAGTATGCAATTTTCTTGTACCAGGTCCTAGTTTTTTGGTTCACCAGATAGGGCTGTATGCATTGTTCAGCCAAGTCTACTCCCCCCATAAACTTGCTGTAGTCTACAATTCACTTCGGCTTTTCCAGATGCTCAGTGCTACCTCTCACAGACACTGGCACTGTACTTTCGTCGTGCATCGTAGACAGCATGTATACATCTTTCCTATCTCTGAACTCATCCTAGTGGAGAGCTGAAGAAGAACCTCTACTGCTTCTGCCTCTTGCCAGGGCTTGGGGGAAACCCCTGCGATTCTTCCTCACTGTGCCACAGGCGAGGGTTTCAAAGCAATATACATTTTTAAAAAATTGTATACTGGTATAATAATTGTCAACCCACAGCCTATATCCCTTATTTAACAAGGGAAGGATTAGATCCCAAACAATCTTGCCACTTGTACCCACGGAATCAGGGCATCCTGGTGGGTCAAGATGGCTATCCTTTGCCTGGTAAAGTCAAAACGCCCATGTGTAACCAGTACAGGATTCGCATAATTTATATAAATTTAACGCCATATCGGGACCGCTTAGATGGTATATATTGCTTAAATAGCAGTCGTCCTTTAAATTTCATAATGGAATCGTAAATTGAAATATTTTTGTCGGGGACAGAATTTTCAGAAAATCTGTCTGGCAGGAGTTGGATAAATGGACGAATTTTATAAAGCCTGTCAAACAGTGGGTCGTTTCTAGGGGGACACAGTGAGTTGTCATTAAAGTGAAGGAATCGCAGCAGTTGCAGGTAGCGATCCCTTATTAGGGTTAAAGCCCAAAACCACTTCATCTCTACGACATCCGTGGGTCTCCACATATTCCTGCGACTATGATGGGACCCCGGATGTGCAGAGAGATACTGTATGGCAACCAAATTAGTTTGCTGAGCCATGAGCTCAAATACATCGTCCGACATAAAAAAACTCAAAAAAAACGAATTGGCTCGCAGTCGTCCACTGTTACAGTGATGCCAGGTATAACAGTGAACGGCTGTATTTCTGGGGCCATCATGTCTGGAGGCACCCAGTCTCCATCTGGTATTGGGCATTCTGAGCGTCCTATTGTGAGTGGTGGTGGGGCACCATCACTTGAGGTCTCACTCAGAGGCTCAATGTCAGAGGCAGTGATAGTGTCACTGTCTTGCAGAGTGTCATTATCGCTGCCTGCCAGAATGGCATACGCCTCCTCTGCGGAGTAGCGACGTGCCATTCTAGGGGGACAATTATCTAATAAAAACTAAGGGAGTAATTGCCTATCTACCTGCCTAACACCCACTACCCGCCCTCAAAAACCCACGAAAATAAAATAAATGTACTGATCACAGTACAGGCAGCTGCAATCAGCACTGAAAGGGTTATTTTTATTTTGTAAAAATAACCCTAAAAAAAGTCAGTCTGATCAGAGAGCCCTCTGATCACAGTGATTACTGATACAGTACTGTACAGCAGATATACTGTACAGTACAGTGATCACGGCAGCAGGGAAAGGGTTAAAGGGACACTATAGTCACCAGAACAACTACAGCTTATTGAATTTGTTCTGGTGAGTAGAATCATTACCTTCAGGCTTTTTGCTGTAAAGACGGTCTTTTCAGAGAAAATGCAGTGTTTACATTACAGCCTAGTGATAACTTCACTGGCCACTCCTCAGATGGCTGTTAGAGATCCTTAAATGCATCCAAACATTCAGTGTCTCCTCCCTCTGCATGCAGACACTGAACTTTCCTCAGAGATTCATTGATTCAATTAATCTCTATGAGGAGATGCGGATTGGCCAGGGCTGTGTTTGAATCATGCTGGCTCTGCCTCTGTCAGTCTCAGCCAATCCTATGGTGAAGCATTGTGATTGGTTCAGGCTACCACTTCTGATGTCAGCAGACAGCTTGCTATTCTGAGTCTAAGCATGCAGAGTTACAGCTTCAGGCTTGAATACAGTAAGATTTTGCTATATTTAGGGAGGCATGAGGGGCCCAGGGGGGCTAGATGGTGGTTTTAACACTATAGGGTTCTTTAAGGGAGATTTGGGTTGCTGTGACTGACAAAAGGTCAAAACAAATTTAAATAAGGTTTTTTTTTTAACCCCCCCCAAAAAAAGCCCTAATCAGCTGATCACAGTGTTAATGCTGGGATCAGCACTGAAACGGTTAAAAAAAAAATCTCACTTTTTTTTACTTTGAAAAAAGTTTTAAAACTTTTTTCCACAGGAGCTACCACCACCAACAATCTCTCTGCCTCTCTCTCTCTTAGATCGAAGTGAGGTGAGGAGAAGGGCAGAGAAAGTGTCAGCCAGTGATTTTAAATCATTGGCTGACACATTGTAACAGTGATCACAGTGATTAGATGACGACCTCAATAACCTGGAGGAAGTACATCAAGATTAAACACTTAACCAAGTAAAAGTTTACATTTCATATTTGCACACGATGCATTAATTTCCCTTTTTAGGGGCTACGCCCGCCGCTAAATAAACAGTTTGAAGTTTTCATTCATCTGAACTTTGGTGTCAGTGTGATTTCTTCATCGTGCACGCGTCTCATTTTCAAAATCTGGACAGGGGCAGATACTCAGGCAGACACTTGGTCTGGTCCAACGTGGGGCTCCGGGTTGTGTCCCAGCAGACAGCCGACCTAGAAGACGCCGGGGCAGACATGCAGTGACGGGACGGAGACTGATCACCTCTGATATGCGGTAATGATTGTGTTAGTACCTTGCCTATATATTCTGTCTCTGTGACTGGCCTGTATCCGTGTCGGCTGCCGGAGGGCACCAAAGACAGGTAAATAACTTGCCCGGAGTCTTTGTATAGAACCTGTATATTGACTATCTGCCGCCTGGGTATGAATGTATTTTGTATAAGGGAAGGATAGGTCACGGGAGGGAATTTTCACAGGGATAAATTGACGTGGTCAAACTTCTGCAAGGTATAGCTGTAGCATGTATAAAGCACACGGCATTGCGGCGGACGTGCGGGGTCTGTAAAGGTATAAATATCTCGAGTCTATCTTTGCTTTTTGAGAAATACATGAAGGGTTTAATTTTATATGTTTCTTGTCTTTGTTTGCAATAAGCGCAAGGTTGTGTCTTGGAGCGGACGGAACTCTATCCCCCCACCCCCTTATGCCCACTCTTTCTGCCCCAGTTCCCGCCCCCTTTATACCCACTCTTTCTGCCCCTGTTCCACGCCCCCACTATGCCCACTTCTTCAGCCCCTGTTATGCCTTCTCCTCCCGCCAGGTCCCTTAGTATCCGTGGGAGACCCGCCCCCAGCCACACCCCAGACAGGAGTTCAAGTCCTGCCCACCCCCCACTCAACCCCTATGTCCTCTCCCTCCGTACGTTCCCAACGAAGCGCCACCGGCCCCTAGCTCCTTCAGCGCCGTCAGTTGCTATGGGTATCAGCTCCTCCCTGATGGCCGTAGCCTACATGGGGGTGATCCTCCGCATCCTATTGTTGGGAACCCCAGAGTCCAATTCCTACCCAAAGGGGCCTCGTAATGTACGTCACATTTACTCCATCCCAAGACTCATCCTTTGTGAATATTCTACCAGACCCAGAAAAACAACCTATGCCCATCTTTAGCAGGTTCTCTGCATTCACTACATATAAAGCCAATCTGTGTGTATCGCAGTTTAATACCATTCCTAGTGAAAAGGCCCATCTTTAGCAGGTTCTCTGCATTCACTACATATAAAGCCAATCTGTGTGTATCGCAGTCTAATACCATTCCTAGTGAAAAGGCCCATCGTTGGCAGGTTCTCTGCATTCACTCCATATAAAGCCAATCCGTGTGTATCGCAGTCTAATACCATTCCTAGTGAAAAGGCCCATCGTTGGCAGGTTCTCTGCATTCACTACATATAAACCCAATCCGTGTGTATCGCAGTCTAATACCATTCCTAGTGAAAAGGCCCATCTTTAGCAGGTTCTCTGCATTCACTACATATAAAGCCAATCCGTGCGTATCGCAGTCTGATACCATTCCTAGTGAAAAGGCCCATCGTTGGCAGGTTCTCTGCATTCACTCCATATAAAGCCAATCCGTGTGTATCGCAGTCTAATACCATTCCTAGTGAAAAGGCCCATCGTTGGCAGGTTCTCTGCATTCACTACATATAAACCCAATCCGTGTGTATCGCAGTCTAATACCATTCCTAGTGAAAAGGCCCATCGTTGGCAGGTTCTCTGCATTCACTATATATAAAGGCAATCCGTGTGTATCGTAGTCTGATACCATTCAGAGTGAAAAGGCCCATCGGTGGCAGGTTCTCTGCATTCACTACATATAAAGCCAATCCGTGTGTATCGCAGTCTAATACCATTCCTAGTGAAAAGGCCCATCGTTGGCAGGTTCTCTGCATTCACTACATATAAAGCCAATCCGTGTGTATCGCAGTCTAATACCATTCCTAGTGAAAAGGCCCATCGTTGGCAGGTTCTCTGCATTCACTACATATAAAGCCAATCTGTGTGTATCGCAGTCTGATACCACTCCTAGTGAAAAGGCCCATCGTTGGCAGGTTCTCTGCATTCACTACATATAAAGCCAATCTGTGTGTATCGCAGTCTAATACCATTCCTAGTGAAAAGGCCCATCGGTGGCAGGTTCTCTGCATTCACTATATATAAAGGCAATCCGTGTGTATCGTAGTCTGATACCATTTAGAGTGAAAAGGCCCATCGGTGGCAGGTTCTCTGCATTCACTACATATAAAGCCAATCCGTGTGTATCGCAGTCTAATACCATTCCTAGTGAAAAGGCCCATCGTTGGCAGGTTCTCTGCATTCACTCCATATAAAGCCAATCCGTGTGTATCGCAGTCTAATACCATTCCTAGTGAAAAGGCCCATCGTTGGCAGGTTCTCTGCATTCACTACATATAAAGCCAATCTGTGTGTATCGCAGTCTGATACCACTCCTAGTGAAAAGGCCCATCGTTGGCAGGTTCTCTGCATTCACTACATATAAAGCCAATCTGTGTGTATCGCAGTCTAATACCATTCCTAGTGAAAAGGCCCATCGGTGGCAGGTTCTCTGCATTCACTATATAAAACCTAACCGTGTATCGCAGCGCCCAATAATTACTCCTGCAGTGAAAAGGCCCATCGCTGGCGGGTGGTTCCCTTCATCTTCACTCCATTAAGGCAAAGCCAACTGCGGTATCGTGCAGTTCAATACCATTCCTAGTGAAAAGGCCGCCCATTTGGCAGGTTCTCTGCATTCACCATATAAAGCCAATCTGTATCTTAGTCTGATACTCACCTCTAGTGAAAAGGCCCATCGTTGGCAGGTTCTCTGCATTCACTACATATAAAGCCAATCCGTGTGTATCGCAGTCTAATACCATTCCTAGTGAAAAGGCCCATCGTTGGCAGGTTCTCTGCATTCACTATATATAAAGGCAATCCGTGTGTATCGTAGTCTGATACCATTCAGAGTGAAAAGGCCCATCGGTGGCAGGTTCTCTGCATTCACTACATATAAAGCCAATCCGTGTGTATCGCAGTCTAATACCATTCCTAGTGAAAAGGCCCATCGTTGGCAGGTTCTCTGCATTCACTACATATAAACCCAATCCGTGTGTATCGCAGTCTAATACCATTCCTAGTGAAAAGGCCCATCTTTAGCAGGTTCTCTGCATTCACTACATATAAAGCCAATCCGTGCGTATCGCAGTCTGATACCATTCCTAGTGAAAAGGCCCATCGTTGGCAGGTTCTCTGCATTCACTCCATATAAAGCCAATCCGTGCGTATCGCAGTCTAATACCATTCCTAGTGAAAAGGCCCATCGTTGGCAGGTTCTCTGCATTCACTACATATAAACCCAATCCGTGTGTATCGCAGTCTAATACCATTCCTAGTGAAAAGGCCCATCGGTGGCAGGTTCTCTGCATTCACTATATATAAAGGCAATCCGTGTGTATCGTAGTCTGATACCATTTAGAGTGAAAAGGCCCATCGGTGGCAGGTTCTCTGCATTCACTACATATAAAGCCAATCCGTGTGTATCGCAGTCTAATACCATTCCTAGTGAAAAGGCCCATCGTTGGCAGGTTCTCTGCATTCACTCCATATAAAGCCAATCTGTGTGTATCGCAGTCTGATACCACTCCTAGTGAAAAGGCCCATCGTTGGCAGGTTCTCTGCATTCACTACATATAAAGCCAATCTGTGTGTATCGCAGTCTGATACCACTCCTAGTGAAAAGGCCCATCGTTGGCAGGTTCTCTGCATTCACTACATATAAAGCCAATCTGTGTGTATCGCAGTCTAATACCATTCCTAGTGAAAAGGCCCATCGTTGGCAGGTTCTCTGCATTCACTATATATAAAGGCAATCCGTGTGTATCGTAGTCTGATACCATTCAGAGTGAAAAGGCCCATCGGTGGCAGGTTCTCTGCATGGCTGGCAGGAGAAGGGGAGATCTAATCACTTGCTGATTTACCTCCTGGGTGCAGTCATATATTTTGCTCTCATTTCAGGAGCCGCATCACCTTTGCACGTACAAATAAATGTCCAAACATCGGCATAAAGAACCAAGATAGCCAAAACATAAAGTGACACTATAGGCCCAGACCGCTTCATCTCCATACAGACTGTTTGCACAAACAAGTGAAAACATTGCCGTTCACAGGAACATGTTAACACTGCGGGTTTAAATGCTTCTAGATGCGCTTCTGCCAACATTCTATTTAAATCAGATGGTCCCATAGAATGTAAGCTCATTGAGCAAGACCATCGATCCTCTCTGTTCCTGTGCTTTTAACTTATCTGGCTCCAAATACATGTCTGTTAGTCCACCCATTGTACAGCGCTACGGAACTTGGTGGCTCTTTAATAATAATAATAATAATAATAATAATAATAATAATAAAGGCCATTTGACTGGAGGCCCGCTGTGTTTTGCCACACATTTGCTATAGCCTGTTTGTATTCCTAACAGTATAGTGTTATTTTAAAGAGACACTACAGTACCAAAACAACTTTTTGTTAATAAAGCAGTTTTGGTGTATAGATCATGCCCCTGCAGTTTAACTGCTCAATTCTCTAACATTTAGGACTTTGTTTATACAGCCTGTGATAAACGCTCCTTCCGACTTACATTTGCCACGGACTCCTGGAGGAGTGTAGAATACGACCTCCTGACCACCAACTGTGGTCCAGGTCTGGGAAACAATTTGGGAGTTAATAAGAATAATTTGTTGTTATTTATATAGCGCCATCAAATTCCGCAGCGCTTTACAATGGGTGGACGAAAAGACATGTAGTTGTAACCAGGCAAGTTGGACACACAGGAACAGAGGGGTTGAGGGCCCTGCTCAATGAGCTTGCAAGCTACAGGGAGTGGGGTAAAATGACACAAAAAGGTAAGGGTAGTATTAGACTATTGACAGTTGCAGAAGAGGAATCAGTCGGGCGCATTTAACAGTTCAATTGATGCTTTTATGAAGAAGTGAGTTTTTAACGATTTTTTTAAAGGAGTGGAGACTGGGTGAACATCTAACGGATGCGAAGGAGGGAAGTGAGTTCCACAGGAACGGTGCAGCCCTCGAGAAATCTTGAAGGCGAGCAATAGAGGTGGGAGTACGGACAGAAGATAGACGTAAGTCTTCAGCAGATCGTAAGCGCCTAGACGGGACATACTTGTGTATAAGGGAGGATAGATAGGTGGGAGCAGCATTATGTAGAGATTTGAAAGCAAGAACCAGAATTTTAAATTGAGCTCTATATCTTATAGGAAGCCAAGGTAGGGACTGACAGAAGGGTGAGGTGTGGGAGGTGCGGGCAGACAGGAAGATGAGCCTCGCCCCCGCATTCATTATGGACTGTAACGGCGCAAGTTGGGAGCACGTAAGACCACTGAGAAGCGGATTACAGTAGTCAAGGCGAGAAAGGACAGTGGAATGGACCAGCACCTTAATCGCATCAGGCGTTATGTAGGGGCGGATGCAGGCAATGTTTTTGAGATGGAAATGGCAGGATTTGGCAATAGACTGAACATGAGGCTTGGAGGAGAGGTCAGAGTTACTCTGCGCAGCCGCCATTAGCAGCTTTCCCTGGGTGCCCCTGGTTCTGCACTTTGCCTTCATTCGAATAGAACCTAACACTAGCTCCCTGGAGGCCGTTCGTATGAAGAAACCCACAAAATGTCTTCAGCGGTACTTAGCTGTGATCGTTATTGAACTTAATTCGGCATAAGGACTTCATAGGCTCCCGGTCACCTCAGCAGGACTTGGCCATGAATGTTAAGGAACAGTTTTCGGCATGAGGTGACCGTGCAGGTTCCCAGACAACTTGGTTTGCGGTTTCGAACAGCTTCAAAATCCGGTAGGAGAGAACTGTTTGGAGGGAAGGTGCCTGAGACTAAGGGGAACAAACGCTACCCAAGAGCCAGGCTGAGCACCCCGTATTGCGGCCACAGGAACAGAACGCAGTTCATAACTTAACACTGTGGCGTTTCCCCTACACTGCATGGATCTGAGCGCTATTTGGAGAACTTGGACACTCAGATCAGAGCTATTTAACAATTTATTATTTGCAGGGTTATTTTATGTTTTTATTTTAGGTTTTATATTTTTTCGGTTTGCCTCTCTGTTCCTGGGAGATAATTAGTTTACCGGCCTTTAACGCAATTATCTCCCAGGCCCAGAGATTCCAGTGTGTTGTCTAGTTACTGGGAGGGAAAAGGGCTAATCACTGTTCAGCACTTTGTTCCAGCTTGCAGAGGATTCGGCAGGGAAAGTCCTTGTAAGGACTAGGGCTCCCAGGACTGTGTGTCGTCCAGTCCCTGGGAGAGAAAAGAGCCAGTCCCCTATCCTGTTCCAGAAGGAAGAGGCTCCAGGACCCCGTCAAGCCACGGCGACTTGGGAAGAAGCGCTGAGGTTTTCCCCTGTTAAAGTTAGGAAGCGGCCCTTGGAGGAGATACCCAGCCGGGGTAAAGGAAGCTCTGCTACACAGCCCTAGTCACACTTACATTAGTTGTGACTCAAACAACCTCTATTACTATTTATAATTAGCCAATATTTGGCAGCGCTGTAGTAAAAGGTTTCATTTTCAATCAGTGTGTTTACTTTAGAAGTTCTTATCTCCTGCATTGTTAATTGAACTTAAAACATACCTATAGGCTCCTGCAGGCTATTAACAGAGCAGGTAATAATACATTCTAACTTAACCCCTTAAATCCGGAGGGCGTACTATTATGCCCTGCAGGACCGTCCCTAAACGCCGGCGGGTGTAATAGTACGCCCTCGCTATAACGGCCGCCTACGTGGCCGGCGCTAATCGGGGCAACCCCCCAGTGGCCGCGATCTGCAGTCTCTGATCGCAGTGACACGCTGTCAGTGTGATCAGTATTTACCGTGTGTCAGCGGATTTCAAATCGGCTGACACACGTGGCAGGTGGCTTTCCCCTGTGTAGATCGCGGTCGAGGGACATACCAGGCCCCCCAGGCAGTCCCCCTGGGGTCAGTGACCGCGATCTGCACTGTTTGATCGCAGTGACAGGCTGTCACTGCGATCTCAGAGCGCTCTGATCGCAGTGACAGCCTGTCACTGCGATCAGTGTTACATGTGTCAGCCTAATGGCTGATACATGTAACAGGCGCAATGATATCCCTGCAGATTGGTAGGGGCAGTGCTTGTACCACCCAGGCACTCCCCCCTGTGGTCAATTACCCAATCTGCAGGAGGTGATCACAGTGACAGGCAGTCACTGTGATCACTGATCCTGTGTGTCAGCCAGTGATGTAAAATCACTGGCTGACACTGTCTCTGCCCCTCTCCTGTAATAAAAATAAAATATTCGTTAAAATACAATTACAGTTACAAATAAAATATACATATACACACAGTGTATTTTAATATTACTGTATTTTGATTATATATTGATATCAAAATACACATAGAACGAAATATATATCTATATACATAAGTATATATCATTATATGTATACCTATATATAACTAAAAATAATTGTAAAAAATTATATACACACACACATATATATATATATATATATATATAAATAATTTTACATATATATTTATATAATAATTTAACATAATTAAGTCCTTTTATTAATTACAATTAGCGGGACCTGCCTGACAACCCAGGCCGAAAGTATAGGGAATTTAATTTGCTGGCACTATATTTAACCCTATAACTTTCCGAGACACCATAAAATCTGTACATGGGGGGGTAGTACTGTTCTACTCGGGAGACTTTGCTGAACACAAATATTTGTGTTTCAAAACCGTCAAATGTATTACAATGATGATATTTTCAGTAAAAGTGACTTTTTTTTGCATTTTTCACACATAAACGGCACTTACACCGACGATAATGCTGTAATACTTTTTACGGTTTTGAAACACAAATAATTGAGTTCAGCAAAGTCTCCTGAGTATAACAGTACCCCTCAGGTACAGGTTTTATGGTGTTTTCAAAAGTAACAGAGTTAAATATAAGGCTTGCGTTTCAGTTTTTTCACATTGAAATTCGCCAGATTGGTTATGTTGCCTTTGAGACCGTATGGTAGCCTAGGAATAAGAATTACCCCCATGATGGCATACCATTTGAAAAAGTAGACAACCCAAGGTATTGCAAATGGGGTATGTTCAGTCTTTTTTAGTAGCCACTTAGTCACAAACACTGGCCAAAATTAGCGTTCAAATTAGTTTTTGCATTTTCACACACAAATATTCGCGTTAAGGACTACTATAGTGCCAGGAAACACTAATTTTACGCTTTATAGTACCCTAATACCCCCACCCTCAGGGACCCCCTCCCACCCGACTCTGGAAGAAAAAACTTGCACCAGCGCTGGGCGAAGAGCTCTCCTCCTTCTCTCCTCCTCCATTCCGCCCCGTCGGCTGAATGCGCCCAAGCGGCAAGAGCTGCGCGCGCATTCAGCCGGTCACATAGGAAAGCATTCATAATGCTTTCCTATGGACGCTGGCGTGCTCTCACTACGCATAAGCGCCCCTCAAACTGTCCGAAAGTGAGACGGCAGCTAAATAAGAGAGGAAACAGCCATTTACTTGAAAGCATAAGTTTCACTGCACGAAACTTTGCTGTTTATAAAAAAAAATATGGGTTAATCCTAGCTGGACCAGGCACCCAGACCACTTCATTAAGCTGAAGTGGTCTGGGTGCCTAGAGTGGTCCTTTAACTTTGGCAAGTGTTTGTGACCAAGTGGCTACTAAAAAAGACTGGACATACCCCATTTGCAATACCTTGGGTTGTCTACTATTGCAAATGGTATGCCATCATGGACGTAATTCTGATTCCTGGGCTACCAAACAGTCTCAAAGGCAACGTAACCAATCTGGCGAATTTCAATGTGAAAAAACTGAAAAATTTAACATGCTATATTTGACCCTGTAACTTTCCAAAAAACCATAAAATCTGTACATAGGGGGAACTGTTTTAAACGTGAGACATCGCTGAATACAAAATATGTATTTTATTGCAGTAAGAGCAAACAGTACTATGATATTCACAGTTAGAATGTCACGTAGAACTAAAGTTTTTTTACAAATTCTTATTTTCTCCCATTATTAATATTTTATTCATATTAAATTATGCTTTATACCTAAATATTTGATGTTAAATGAATGCCCTGTTTCCCCTAAATAAAATGATATATAATAAGGGTGGGTGCACATAAAATGAAAGAGGCGAATTACTCCTGGACAGACATATAGCGCAAATTCAAGTTTTAGTTTACGTGTTGTTTTGATCACAACTTTTATATTTGGCTCAGTCCTTAAGGGGTTAAAGGGACATACATTACTTTTTCTTAATGAAAAGCCTCATTGTGGATGCAGAAAAAGCAAGTCAATATGAATTTTCAGATTTACTTTTCTATCCCTATAAATGCTGGAAAGCGCATTGAGCATGCCTGAAAAATATTCAGACTTGCTGGCAAGAGGAATGTACGTGACGAAATATCAGGGATTCTAATGCTCAGCACGTCACTGACACAATAGTCTGTTTATATCATGTGGGGTAGACCGTGCTTAGTTCTTACAGGTAATCATCACAATCATGTCCCTTAAAACACAAACGATAGCGGGCATGCCACCTAACAGAACATGAAAATACTGAAACACTTTAATCCCTTAAGGACACAACTTCTGGAATTAAAGGGAATCATGACGGAATATTTCCGTCATGTGTCCTTAAGGGGTTAAACGTTACCCCAAGTTGGAGCAGGTAATATATTCTACACTCACAGATTATAAATGATCATTACATTCACTGACATAATGAACGCAAATTTCTCCTAAACACCCGAGACACCTGATGGACTTTAAGAGTGGAAATGGCCAAGAACACACGGACAGCTGACATTTTGAGCGTGCCCATATAATACTAGCTATTGTCATGTAATTAGATGTCTTAAAATCCATTATTGTTTACATACTCTACCACAGAACATCTATGACAGTACCAAAGATATCACGGTGAAAATGGATCTTTTAAATACACAGCTTGTCCTAGAGAGCCGGCACCAACGCTGAGGGCCGAGACACACTCCAGTATTTACTGTAGCAGGATGCAAGCTATTCATAGGTTGGAGGGGACCCAAGCTTGCAAAGGTCAATAGGATTCGGTTTACTAGTTATTCAGCTTCCAAAACAGAACGATAATTCATATCACATTCGTTGAATGACACGTCTCCGCAGGATTAACCTGGCACACTGCCAGCACATGCTCCAAAACGCAGGAACCGGACATACACCTAGGAGCCAGACCCATGCGATTTTTAATGGAATTATTACTCAAGCCATTATAACCGTTGGTAGGAGGTCCCTATCGCCATTCCCCAGTAATGGGGCAAACTGTATAACAACTGACGGGCAGAAGATGGATGACAATCCGGCCACTCATTCCTTGGCGGAAAAGTTCAGTGGACCACTCTCAGCCAATGAATGAGTGTGTGCATTGAATTGACAATCAGCCCGGAGCTCGTTTTAGACTGGGCTGATGATGCCCCAGGATGCTGCAGGAGGTGGGTGTTACACCTTAGCTTTATGTAGTGAGCAGGGAGATAGCAGAAGCATGATCTATACACCAAAAACACTTGATTAAACTAAAGATGTTTTGATGTCTATAGTATCCCTTTAACTCCTGAATGGCAGAGAATTGAGCAGTGAGATAGCAGGGACATGATCTATACACCAAAACTGCTTCATTAACCCCTTAAGGACCAGCCTGTTTTTGTGCTGTTGTCCGTTAAGGACCAAGGCTGTTTTAACACTTTTGTGGTGTTTGTGTTTAGCTGTAATTTTCCTCTCTCTCATTTACGTCTCCCATACAAATTATATATTGTTTGTTTTAGGACAAGAAGGGCTTTCTTTACATACCATTATTTGTATCATGTTAATTTACTTAAAAAAAAAAAAGAAAATTTGTGAAAAATTGGAAAAAACTAAACAAAAATCTTTTACTCATCTACAAAAGCTAATGAAAAAAACAGCTAAATAGATTCAAAATTTTGTCTCGAGTTTAAAAACACCCAGTGTTTATGTGCTTTTTTTTGCAAGCTATAGGGCTATAAGTACAAGTAGGAAATTGCTGTTTCAAATTATATATTTTTTTAAATGTATCAATAGTGACATTGTAGCAGCGATCAAAGTCCTGTTAACTTCTACCAAGGAAATCCCTGAAAAACGTTTAAAAAATACAAAAAAAAAATCTCTAATATGAAGTCGATAGTCAAGCCTTTGATAAGAATGATTTCTAAACGAACAACAAAATACTTTCCTTTAGAGAGAGTATTATCAAGATGTTCCTCTATATAACCCAACAATTATTCCAGGCTGAATCAGATCTGTATAAATATACAAAGAAACCAGATAAACCGTCTACTCCGATAGCGAAGGAGCCAATATTAGCAATAATGACAAGTTTTGGAAGTAGGTGGTGTAGCGGGCCTCCTAGCAACCCGAATGGCTGCCCCTACTCAGCCCCGTCCTTCCCTAGAAGGGGGTCGGTTACAATACAAAAAGACCCATTTCCCACCCAGTAATCGGACGACAGTTTCAGGGGTACAACAACAACTTTATTGGCCACACACTGCTTTATACTTTCCCCATGCAAGGGGTGGATCAAACATAAAAACAATGTCCCCTTTCAGAGTCCTCCCCCACCCAGGGGTCGTATAACAGAACCAGAACCCTAGTCCCTTTGTCCCTATTCCTGCCACCCATCCTCAGGGTTTCCCATCTCCGGTGACCAGGGGTGTCTTCATCCCATGAGCCTCTGTACCTGGAAATCCCAGCCCGGGAAAGCTTCCTGCCTCCTGGACGCCAAGCCACAGAAAGCCGGCCAAACCACCATTGTCCCCAAAATAGTGTCCCCACCAATCTCAGTGACCCCCAGAACGGTAACTGCCTCCGCTCGCTGGGTCCCTGGTTGAAACCAGGCATGGAAAGAGATTCCGTTCGGACACGAATCCTCCCCCTGGCCACCGCTCGTCAATGGCAGCCATCCAGGGAAGCACTCAATTACTTCCCTTACGGTTTCACACATGTTGCAAGTTGCTACACTTCTAAGGGGAGGCACACGTCAAGGCTTCCCTTGCGGTTTGTGGTTTTGACACCTTATTACGAGGTGCGTTCTAAACTAACATTCTAAATGAGTTGTCGGGGTGGTCCCCGTTCGGGAGGGGAATGCATTCCCTTTGTGTAGGCCCTCCCGAATGGGGAGCACACACATTCATACGAAAAATCCAGGGAAATACACAGAATATAACAGCAATTCACGAACAGGCAGCGGTCCCGCCACCAGGATTACATAAAAAATGACTGTCCTCTAACGCAATTTTTTTGTGCCTTATCCTTCCACAAACTGACATTATTTCTGGTTGACTCTGTATAAATAGAACGGATGTTGTTGAAAGTAATACCGCTAAACCAGGCAAGCGACCCGGGACAACATCACCTGTTTTTATATATATATATAGTTACAGAGTAGGCTGAAAAAAAAAAAAAAAAAAAGACAAAAGTTCAAGTTCAACTGGCAATGGAAATGGTACAGCACAATGCACAGAAGTAATCATGTTAGAATTAGATTTTATCACTCCTGGATGGAGAGTGACCATCCGAGATCCCCAGTCCAGCAGAGCACTTCCTGGTGTCTAGTGGAGAAATGAGTTGTCTCTGCAGTTCTCCAGAGATCGCTTCAGGACTCCTTTTTATTGCAGCAATTTGATGACATACCGGCTTTCAGGACATACCATGGCAGCCCATGGCTAGCCAGGGGAAATCTTTTGATCTCTCCTATTATTTAACGGGATAGGCACCAATACTATACCAACTACAGCTAAATGAAGTGTTGGTGTATAGGTCATGTCCCCGCAGTACACTCAGGAAGTGATGATTTTAAGATTAGGAAGATGCCGGCCCAGGAGACTAACTGATTACAAACTCCTTACGCCCAGGATTAAGGTGTTCCAAACGTCTACCAACTATCAGATAAAGGACATATGATTGGAACACGCTTGCTAATGCACCGGCCATGTAATAATTATATTCCTGGACTCGCTCAGGTGAGTGGCCCATAACTGTAAAACACTATTCTGTGAAAGAGTACAACACACAGTGAAGATTTCATAATCAGCCCAGTATCTTGCTATTATACCTAAAAGCATTTTCAGAATTATCTAGGATTCATTCTAAGACCAGCAGCTGCCCCCTACCCCCCTCCAAAACTGCAGACACCAGCACGTAGACTAACTGCACACACAGCAAAACAAACGTAGAGAATCGGATCAGGCATTGGTTACAGTGTCCCTGTCCCCCTTAGACCCGCTCACGAGCCCCGTTGGATGATGTTGCAGGAGGCGGAGCACTGACAGCGCTGGGAGACATCGGCGCAAGTATCGGGTGAATGATTGAAGTGGCTGGAGGGAGGGGTTTACCAGAGGGCATTAAAGTGTTATGAATACAGATTTGTCTGCCATGTCAGTGGTCGCTCTCAGACAATGTCCAAAGTCGGATTGCATTTAGTATTATAATATATTCGCATCAATTTCTACTTTCGTATAGCTGTGCAGACCAAAAGCAGCGAGGCCATCCGACAGAGGCAGGTAAGTGTTAAACCATTTGTAAATTGGCAGCTTACCATGTGATAACGCCATGGGACTCACGGCACCATAACCACTGCAGCATGTTTAGCTTGACACTTTAAATGCCATCCTAGTACAATATACTTTAAAGTCATAACTACCTGCACCATTGCTTAAACCTATAATGTCTGCTGTGGACTACATTTCCCATGATGCTGCACTTTGCCCTAATGATCTTTGAGAATTTACCACTCAATCAATTCCCGCTAGAGCTCTGCATTGCAAAATCTATAATACAGACTAAAAGCACTGAACCTTGTTAAGTATAGATGAAGTAAAGGAATGTGTGGATTTTGATGTATTAGCAGTGTCAATACAGAGGGGAATGCACCTTTATTAAACAAAAACCTTTTAGGTGAAATTCATACAGCAAGGGTAGTAGCGGGAGCATGTTATTTATTGAAAACACGTTTCACTAAGCTCTGCGCAG